ACATGAGAAACAAAAGGTTGGTTCGGATATACGCCTTACTACCAGTAGTGGGCGGGGTTGAGGGCTTCCGGAAGTCGACCCACCAGTGAGCCGGTAGTAGTAGGCTCACCCTTCTAGCCCGGCTAACATTTCTCCGCTTTGGCTCGCCCAGCTAGCTGGGTCAACTCTGTCAAGGCTAGACAAAGACAGCATGCGCAGGCACTGTTGACTCGGACAAAGTGGTCAATTTTTCCTCATACAAACGCTCGCTAAAGCTGGCTCGGCTGGGAGGTCGAACTTCTCTCCGGCACAGCTTTCTTCAATCCACGGGTTCCAAACAGCCTTTCTGCAATCACTTTTGAAATTTGTAGGAAAATGATGTAACACTTCAAATAACAAAAAATACACTTGTTTCACAGCCTGTCAATACCTGGAAGGTGTCTATAAAAGAAATCGACTGCAGAACAGGAGCCAATACCAATTTTTTTGCGCTTTTCACGCTAGCACTGTCAAGCGGACCTGGAGCGCGAGACACGCGTGATGCATGGGGAGCAAGTTCTGCAGCAGGCTGTAAAAGAAATTTTAAGAAACCAAATAAAGGAAGCATGTTTTTATTTCGATGAGTCTATTTTTTGTCGAAAGTAAACGTGAAAAATCGTATTAAAATTCGTGACAGCATGCTAACGTCACGTAAGCGTGTGACCGATTTCCGGTCACACGCCAAAGGTCATACGATCTTGTGCGATGTTTATTATCAGCCGACGAACGATTGAAGTGATGAAAGGTTTTCAAAATCGAAGTCATTCCTTTCGTCTCCTGACTGAAGTAAAAACTCTAAGATTGTAACTCTTGCTTCTAAATGACCACAGTGACGTGTTGTGACTTTATTTCGATTCACGGCCGGATTCTGACGCAGTTGCTGAGCTGACGTACGTTTTTCGTTTGGCTTCAAATTATGGATTTTGTGAATCAAAACGACGCAACAGAAGTTGGAAATAACTTTCCTTACTGTAAAAACGTGTTAGAAGCAATGGTGAGCAATCCTTTCATGTAAAACTTTTCATTTAGTTTGATAACCGTCAGCAAGCCGTCTTATTTGCACAAAATTTCCCTATTCAACTGCTCTCACCGCTTGCTTTAGTGTCGGGATGGTATTTGATTTCCAGAGCTAAAACGTTCCAGTAATTTAGTACAAGAGCCAAGGTTCTATTTTGTGTTGATTTTATGATCAAGCGGCATATACCAGAGGTCTTTTTTAATAGTCGAAGTTGGCCTTCATTTTCTAGCATGTCTAACGTCACAAATATGACCTCTTTAGACTTGTCGATTATAAAAATATAAAACATTGTTTTTCAAATTTTCTTTTAAGATTTTAAAGAGTAAGAACAAAATAATAATTCGCGGAAGTTTCAATGTCAGGGAATGTTTCTTGCGCGTTCACTCTTCTCTTGAAGTTGCCATTGCATCTTGCCATGTTTTGTGGGAAAAACAGGCATAAAATCGATTTTTCAAACTTTTTCTAATTTCTCGTTTAATTAATGAATCGTTTGAACCCAAAACTATTTTTCCTTAAATTAGGTCACTAAAAGGAAAGGAAGGCGGGAAGGAGACAACGGGCGAGAGGTGCTTCGCCTACAGTCTGTACTCTTCCCATGATCCCTTGCGATTCATCACCAGTCGCTCGCCCCTACCTTGCGTAAAACAAAGCGCCTGAGGAGGAGGCTGGGATGTTTTGCTAAAATAATAAAAAAAATCGATTAATTTACGAGTGTCTTGCGATTCTCAATTTTCTCAGACAATGGAAAAAAACTGCATCGCATCAGAGATAAATCCTGTAAGAAAAAAAAAAATGACAAGAAATAATTAACCAATATGCCTGAATCAGGTCAGCTTCATGATCTCTCAAGGTGAGACCAGCCGCGAAATATAAAATTTGCTTTACAGCATGATCTACCCGCTAGCACTAAGAAAATAATCGGAACAAGCGACATTTTAAATCATGAGGTAAAAGTCGTTTAGGCCTACAGACTCCTTTTTATACCGTATAAATTCGGACATGTAGATTGCTACCCGTGAGAATTCAACATCTTACAAGAACGCGTGACAAAGCAGAGCAGGACACCATCTTATTCACGGACAAAACAATTGCAAAGATCCCAGGAAATGACCTCTAAATGTGACACAAATAACTGCAAAGATAAGACTGATTCACTCAGTTAAAGTTTGGAATCCTCCACAGTGTAATCTACTGATTTTGGATTTAAGAGCTAATAAAAATTTGCAACGTCTTGCAACACGAACAATTCCAAATTAAACGAAACCAAGGATCAGTTAAGACTGCGATCCACGAAAAGCTCTCATAGTGAACCAGTAATGGCGCCGAAATTACATGCACACACTTCACAGATTTTCAAAGCCAGTGCATACGAACTAAAGTATGGAGCATATGGATTTTGTTTGAATAAACAACAAGCAAATTTACTCTAGTATCTCGGGGTAATTTTTTCAAAACCAGAAAAAATTATTACATACCTGAGATTTGCAATAACTCAAAGACGACTCCACTCAGAATGCATCAAAAACACAACCGTTGACGCACGCCATCTTTCTTTGTTTTACATGTTCCTCTGATGTTCCTTTACCAATAACGCGTCGTCTCATGGGATAAATAAAAGGGACCAAAATAACAACAAAAGCGTTTCGAATATTGATTTTTCTTTGAAGGTCCAAGATCAGTGACGTCATCATATATCCAGAAATGGATATCTCCCGGACTGAAGGACAGGTTTATCAGCGTTGAAATCCGTTTTCAGATTTCACGTCGTGCCACCCGAAATTCAAAACTCCAAGTCCAGATTTCCCAATCGAATACGCCGGCCCTTCTATCTTTAGAAGTTAGTGGTGAGTTTCCATGGCAATGGTTTCTTCTAAGTCTTTATTCTGACCCATTTTCCAGTTGATGGAGACAGACTGATTACAATTTAGCACACCCTAAGTTTTAATTTTGAGGGTGCTACCTAATTACATTTTTTAGGTTCTTGGCTCATCAACTATTTCGGGTGCTCGCAAGCAGGAGAAAATAGATTTTTATCTCTCATGAAAGGTGAATAGAAGCAAAACTTAGCTATGAAAGTCAAACTTGCCGACTAGTAAGAGCGGAGCGCAGACGATTTGTTGAGGGCGTAAAAGAGAAAGAAGCGCAATGCTGCTCGTGGCACGAAAAATTATCTCGCGCTGACTGCGGCAGTCTAAAAGCGCGCGAGATACTAGTTACCAATTGAAAGGTCACATTTCACTTGTATGGCAACCACGTAGACCAGCAAGACCATACGATAACAGGCCTTTAAATGCAATATTTTTTGTTTGGAGTATTGATACCAACGTTTTCTCACTGAATTTTAACCAGGAGATCATGAAATCAGTTGTTGGTGCTTACAGGAGAAAAGGTTTACGTCAAGGAAATTCTTATAACTAACTTTCACTTGCTGATTTGTAGACGATTGTAAAGCAGGATTACATAACTGCCACGATGAGGCATACTGCTAACCGTACAAATAAAATAAGAAGTGATAAAATTCAGAAAAATGGCAGAGCTGAGCTGCCAACAGTAAAAATGCGGTCAGACAGAGGCCAGAAAAGAAAACATGCCCAAAAATCCACGAAGGAAAAAAATGCGGGCGAAAGATCTGGATAGGAACCAAGCCTCAAGCTCAAAGACGTTTCTAAGGGACTTTACAAGTTAATCGAAAAAGACCGCTCCTAAAATAAACAAAAAAAATAGGAAAACCAAAGAAAGATCGTTTCAGACGCCGAGATGACGTACACGCGATATTCATACGTAGCCTTGTATACTCCCGGTATGGACAAGACACAGAACTTTATTTATACCACACAGAAAAAAAGACATTAACAAAAGACAATGCTACTTATGTAAGGTACAAGCGTCTTACAGCTAAAAAGCTAATCTACCTAGGAGGCATTATAGATTAATTAAGAACATTTAAGAGGTTCTTTCATGGAGGCACAAGTAGAAAACAATGTAAAAAAACAAACAAACAAATAAACAAAGAAAATAAAACACAAAAACGCATATGTACAGAATTGAATCACTGAAAAATTGAGGAAGTGGAGAAAATATTGGAACAGAAAGAACTTAATATGAACTAGTGCCCCTGGTCTAACACCCAGGTTTTGTCGTATTTCGTGCCGTCAAAATAGTTATTTCTTATTCTTAGCGCGATAATTCGTCATAAATAACATAACTTGCAACATGTAAAACTTTGTTTAATCATTTTTCACTGATTTTATCTGCCATTTCACCGTTGTTATAAATGCCATCAATTGAATTAGTGTTCCTTGCAATTGCCAAATTGTAAAAACTGATTTATTCATTTGTGGACTACCAGTCTCGAAAGCATTGCATTGCTATCACTCATTCAATGATATAAAACTGAAATAGAACTGATTCAGTTTGATAATTCAGCATTAAATCTTGATTTCCAGACATAAACGAGTGTAACTCAGGAAAACACAACTGTGACGTCAGTAGTTCAGTGTGCCATAATACTATAGGATCCTTCGGATGTGCTTGCAAGGAAGGTTATTTTGAAAATGGAAAAGATAAATGTGCAGGTAACACCTCAAATCCCTTAATTTAAACACTCAGATATTTCTTAACCACGTATCTTTCAAGTCAATTTCCTCTGTTCCAAAGTGGTTTTTCACTAAATTTGCCTTAATTTAAGTCTCGTTAATTTCCATAATACATTTTAGTGATCCCAGAGCATTAAGTTCCTATAATAAGTCAGGTATATTATTGTAAATAAATTCTAATAGGCCATTTTCGAGTTGACTCGAGCTTCTGTTTTAAAACTAAGGGAAGTGTGAAGCTTTTGATATGAAAATTAATTTCAAAGGAGAAAGGTTTGAGGATTGACCTCGTTTTGAAATGAAAATTGATCGCATGAAATGGCTATTGTGGTAGGCCACAGTAATTGCTGTGAAAGAAAAAGGAAATCAGTTTTAATCATTCAGTGTCTCACTTCTTTTTTGCAGATATAAATGAATGTGAAGCAGGAAAGCACAGCTGTCATGCAAAAGCTAATTGCAATAACACTAAAGGATCCTTTGAGTGCACCTGCAAGCCAGGGTATTCTGGGAATGGAGTTAACTGCACAGGTGAAAACAATACCTCGGTCTTCTTTATAATGAGTCTTTTTCTAATCAACTCCATTTATCAAGCCATTTATCTAGCCAAGTTCAGCCACAAGGTAGTATGCAGCTTAGTCTCTGGTAGTGCAGTTTGTTCTTTTAAGCTGAATAAGTATGGAATGCTCCTGCATTATAAAAGTTTGTGATTTGCAGTATCTGTATGCAATTTTAGTCTTATACATGCTTGAGATATTTAAGTTTTTTATGTATTATTATATTGTTCCCATGCAGGATTGTCATGTCCAAAAACGCATTCACACTGGGTGACCTTACTACATTTAATTATATCAAACCAATGTACACAATTCCGCGTTTAGAGTATGAGCGGAAACGTGCCCTTTTTATCCCTCATTCTGTTGGCCATTTTTCTTTAGAGAGGAAGTCATTCTGTATTCTCTAACATCTTGCTTCCTTAGGTCTCGCGAATCCTCTATCTATACACTTGATGTCATTTCTGAATTTCTCACCTGCTCAATATATAGCAAAAATGTTTCTGCTTTTCAGTATAGCCAGAAATCTCTCGCTCCCTCTCTCTTCTGATCTTACCCAGTTCTAGAAAATAAAAGGTTAATAGGTAAATCAGTTTTGATGATTTAGTCCTGCATCTGACTTGCAGACGTAAACGAGTGTATAACAGGAGAGCACAACTGTGATGCCAATGCAGACTGCAATAACACTGAAGGATCTTTCGAGTGCACTTGCAAGCCAGGGTATTCCGGGAACGGAGTTAACTGCACAGGTGACTATATTTCAGTAAAGACCTGGATCGTCTTAATGTTAAGGCTATTAATTCAGTATTATTTTGTCTCGAGTTCACGCGTTTGAGTCCCTGAGTAGAATCCAGAAGTGACATTTCCAATTTTAATGTACAAATAAGAGTTTGAAGTCTAGCTTCGATCGACAAAGTGATCGTTTTCATAATTATTTAGCAATTACTGAATGAGGCTTAGTAGACTGCATGTGAAGAATTATGTAGAGCGAAGAGGATGTTATCCTCAATTTTGGGGTGACTCAATCCAGCTTGATCGAAGTTTAGTACATCTGATCAATCCACTAAAAGCGTTACTTCTCTCCAGTAAAGATAGATCATAGATAATAAAATAATCAAATCGCAGCCGGCTGAAGGCTGAATTGTTTAATTATTTATAATACAATAAAAAGTATAAAATAATGGTAAAAGACTAATTTCAATTTTGTTAATTAGGAAAAATGATAATGAAGAACTGAAAAAGAAAGGAAAAATAACGTAATAACACTCAATCTTACATTATAATAACATGTTTGGACGGCTGCACATGGCTGGTTTGAATGAATTTTTGCAGCGGTTTGTGCGAAAGTGGGGCAAGTCGTAAACTCTCTTCTGTCTGGTATTTTAGTACCCTCAGTGGTTCTGAGAAAGCAGGCAAGCGAATTTGTGCTGATCCGATGATATACTATTAAACAGCTTAATACATTGATCGTTACGCCTATCATATATAGTGCTGAGACCAAAACTGACTAAACAGTGTTTGTATGATTTATCAGGCGCTATTATGGAGAGCGCTCTTTTTTGTACACGCTCAGTTAGACAGTCCGGGGTAGGCTATGGTGGAAAATGGATGAGCAATATTCTCGAACGGGTCTCATTGCGGTACAGTGGAAGTCAACAAAATCTTTACAGCTCAAGCTGAACCAAAAAAAATACAAACGCTTATTTGCTTTCTTAATAGTTTCATAATTCACCAAATCAGTGGATAGCAATTTTCACGCGTTCTGATTGGCTTCCCTTACTAGGAATATCCTTGGATATTCACTGTTTCATTTGTTCATGACGGGATTCTGCTTCTCGTTTCGCGACAGCTTCGAAAGATGAAATTTTAGCGGTAAATGAAGCAGCTGCACCAACAAATACCAAGAACGAGAAAAAATTTGGCTTTTCGATGTTTACTGGTCGCTAGAAAAGGTCATAACAAATGATCCCCGAAACATTGTAAATTGAAACGTCAACAAACTCGAACTAAGTGATTTTTATCCAACTGATTTGGTAAATACTAAAACAACTATCCCACTCAGGGTCGGTTCATAGCGCTAGATATATACCTCGACACTTCGCGTCTAGGTATATCCCACCTGACTATTCTGATCACCTCCCCTTCAGGGGATAGTTGTATATTATATAAACTTTCCACTTGAGATCGTTAATAATAATAATAATAATAATAATAATAATGATAATGATAATGATAATGATAATGATAATGATAATGATAATGATAATGATAATGATAATGATAATGATAATGATAATGATAATGATAATGATAATGGTAATGGTAATGGTAATGGTAATGATAATGATAATGATAATGATAATGGTAATGGTAATGATAATGATAATGATAATGATAATGATAATGATAATGATAATGATAATGGTAATGGTAATGGTAATGGTAATGATAATGATAATGATAATGATAATGATAATGATAATGATAATGATAATGGTAATGATAATGATAATGATAATGATAATGATAATGGTAATGGTAATGATAATGATAATGATAATGATAATGATAATGATTATGATAATGATAAGGACAGTACTTTCCGTAGTATCTTTGCTGTCCCCAACAATGCTGTTTGCTGGATAACGTTCACGCCGATGCGCTTCAACTTTAAGGAGTACATGAAGAGAATCGGCGTGAACGTGAGATTGGAAGTTATCCAGAAAACAGCATTGTTGGGGAAAGCAAAGATACTAAGGAAAGTACTGTCCCTGTACGAAGAAGGAAAAGAGAGACCTGGGAGCCGTGGTGAATTGTTGTAACCTGCTTCCAAGGACTATAAACCACGCCGAACATCCTGCCTGAGTCTACAAGGAATGGAAATAATAATAATAATAATAATAATAGTAAAACTTATACAGCGCCGATATATATTGCTATTTTCATCAGCGCTTAAAAATAAAAATATTAAAAAAAAATTACTAGGACTGCATAAAATATACAAAGTGAATGAACCTACCAAAAAGAGTTAAAACAATTATGTCAGCACTAAAACTATAAAAATTACTTAGTTTACCTAAATGGTAAAAAACTGCATAAAACCTACTAAAAAAGAGATTAAAAAGCGCATAAAATTACAAAAAAGCTTTCTGAAATAAAAATGTCTTGAGTTTCTTTTGAAAAGATGCTACTGAGGGGCTACTCCTAATCGCATAGGGCCATGAATTCCATAGTTGAGGAGCAAGAGCAGCAAAAGATCGATCTCCTAACGTTGTTAAAGTCTTGATTTCACAGGGTTTAGTAGCAGTCCATCACAATCGGAGAGTAAATTGTATGCTTCTTTAAGATTATTACGTTCCTGGAGATAAAAAGGTGCTGAGCCAGTGATAGTCTTTTCCGTTAACAGTAGTATCTTAAGGTCAAATTTGAATTTAACCGGCAACCAGTGCGGATTATACAGCATCGGTCTTACGTGGCAGTATTTAGATTCCTGGAAAATTCTGGAAAATTAACCTAGCGGCAGCATTTTGGCCCCTCTGTAGCTTATTAAGCTGGTAGGCTGGCAGGCCACAATTCAATTCAATTCAATTCAATTTTATTATTCACACTTTATAAAATATTTACATTATATATAGTAAAGTAGGAATACACTAATAAAGGAGAAGAAGAAGAAAAAAAAGAAAATTAATGGCTTGGGTAGAAGTGATTTAATAAACGAAACGGAGATGAAAAAAAAATTCACTGAGAGAGTGAAAAAGGAGGCTGAAACTAGTGTTGAAATCAAGATTGAATTGAAAGAATAAGGTTATAGCGATTAAAACCTGCGCAGCTGTCAGCGCTGATCAAGTATGGAGCAGGTAAGATGGGCAAAGGAAGAACTGAAAACATTGGATAAAATGACTAGAAAGGTGTTGACAATGAATGGTGCTTTCCATTCAAAAAGAGATGTTGATAGGTTGTATGTATGAAGGGAGGATGGAGGTCTGGCCGACTAATAATCTGTGAGGAGTGTGTGAGAGGTGAGTAAAACAGTTTTGGGTGGTGTGTGAAGAATTCTTGGGAGGTTTTACTGCAAGGGGTGAGGGGTAAGGTATATTGAAAGTGATGAAATTGTCAGTTAAGTTGATTGAAGACATCTTGGAACAATGAGCTGAAACTCGACAGTTGGAAGGAAAAAAAAGCTGCATGGTCAATTTTATGAGAAATACCCGGAACAACACATGAAAGAAAACTTGGAGGTGGTTACGAAAAGCAGACTCGAAGATCAAAACAGAAGCACTTATTTGTGCTGCCAAGGAACAGGCTCTCAGGACCAACCATGTAACTGATACCATGTCGACAATACCGCGCGAATCCCCCTCAGGTAGGTAATGTGGCGAGAAGGCGAGAGTGTAAACCATATTGTCTGTGAGTGCAACTGAAAAGTTAGCCCAAAGGGAATATAAACAGAGACATGACAATATTGCAAAAGTAGTTCGTTGGAAGTTATGTGAGAAATATCATCTGGGAAAGAAGGACAAGTGGTACGAACACGTGTCTGACAGTGTGAGTAAAAACGATGAAGTTAAACTACTGTGGGATAATGAACATCCAGTGTGATCATGTCATCAATGCTACAATAGACATGATCATTTGGTTGTAAACAAACAGGAGGGAGAGAGTGCGCCATTCTCGATATTGCTGTAGCAGGTAATAAGATAATTGTTGAAAGCAGAATTAGAAGGTTATAAAATATCAGGAGCTTAAAAGAGAAATTGCAACGATATGGAACATGAGAACCGTGCAGGAGATACTGATTGTTGTATTATCATTGGGCCGTGAGTGTGACAAAGAACTTGGATAAGTGGCTGGAAAAGTTGGACATTAGAATTAGTATTTCATTAATCTAAAAAACTACACTACTAGGAACAACAAGGTATTAGAGTTCTAGAGTAAGGAAGTGAAATTCAAGGGGCCTTTGGCCTTTGGTCAGGGATTATGACTCGCTCCCTTAGCAGGTAAATCGGTATGAGATCAGCCAGTGTACAAAGAAAGAAATGATTATAATAATAATAACAATAATAATAATAATGGTAATTTTAATGATAGTTATAATACTTATATTGTTAATAATGGAAATAGGTCTGAGTGGAGTCAGGAGACCACATAGCTGGAGTCCGATTTGTATAAAAATAAGTAACATTTAATCGTAACTGTAACAAAATTTGTGATACTTTCAGATTTTATGAAACTAAAACACAAGATCTTGTAAGAGTTTCATGCGGCTAGAAGAAAAATATACATAACAAGAACAAAAACCAAAAAAACGTCGAAGAGCGTTCGCGATGGAGTGATTATTGTACCATTACTTATGTATATATGACGGGTACTGCCCCCGGGCACTGTATCCCATTACACCGTTATTATCATAATTAGAACAGCGCTAGCATTTAGTAGTGGTAATAGGACTCAGATTAGAATCAATTCCGTCTGTAATCATCGGAGTCGTAGAGAAAACTGTTTCTCAGTAGTCCTTTTGTGGTCGTAAACACTATATATAGAAAAAAGACAAGCTAAATAGTAGCATCTCCTGTTTTTCAGACGTTAACGAGTGTGCAACAGAAAAGTACAACTGTGACAACAGCTCCAAATGCCATAACACCAAAGGATCCTTCCTATGTATCTGCAGGGAGCCAGGATATTTCTGGAACGGCGTTAATTGCACCGGTAAATATACTGTACATTGAGATTGTAGATTCCTCTGATAAAAGTGGCCGCTGTGTAATTGGGGTCTATCAAATGGTGAAATCATGTTCATTATTGTCATCACTGGTATCGCGTTTATTTCCCCTTTTTCGTTGATAGCTATTTTAGAGAAGAAAAAAATCAAACCAGAAAAGTTTGTTGAACTCGTTTGGTTTCAATTTGATAAAAGCACATGAAGATTTGACATGATCTTTAAGGCCAAGTAATACCGGCAACATTTTCTCTTAACTTGTTGCACAACATTGTTGCATTCCAAGTTCAAAAGCGTTTTTGCCCTTCGAGTTTAAGAGTGCAAATTAACGGTGCAGCCTTGTCTAAAATTAATCTGCCCGGTATTTTGGGCCATGGTTGTTTGTACGTTCGGATTTTGTGTTAAAATTAGTATTTATTATTTCAGTAGCTGTTAATACTGGTCTCAATTCGGTGGCTGAACACCGAGATAGTGTGTCTTTAAACTTAGAGGTTGCCAGTACAAACGATTCACGAGACTAGGTAAAAAAAAAAACCCAAGCACCCCCTCCCCTCAATGGAGCTTTGCGGTCTCTGGGTTAAGGGAAGAAGCTGGCGTTAAGACAGATCACAGGCGACCCAGACGTAGTATGTGTCACTGAATGAATATATTAATATTCACATGGACAAATTAATGCGATGAGTCGTCGAAACTCCCATGGACTAAAATAGTCTAAGAGTCAAAATATAACAAAACAAAGCTAAGATACCTTCAACTGAACGTATCCTTGTCTTTCCTGGCCGGTTTAAGTGGCATTTTGTTGAGTTTTGCAATTGTAGGTACTATCCACTAAAGAAGAATTAAAGGCTGGCTACAAAACAAACAGACCATCTCCACGCGCCTTCACACGAAGCGCTATAAATTCGAGAATAATCGACGAATCCGGTCCAAATAACCATCGGCTAATCTGCAGGTAACGTGTGCTCCTGCTTCTGGCTCGCTTGCTCCACAAAACCTATCGCAACTGCACAATAATTGCTCGCTCATCAACAACCACTGTTGACCTTTATGCTTCGATATGACTGCAAACGACCAGGTTTAATACGCGACGTGAATATTCAAGCTTAGCGACCGCGTTCGCGCAACAATAATGCAGCAGTAATACTAGTCTGTTTAAACACCATTGTTATGCAAATGAGGTTCGTCGCCATACAAACCCTTCTAAATTTTGGAATGATGAAAGTCAACAGCGGACACCATAGCGGACACCCTAATCGCAACATCCGTTACTATGACAGCGAAGGGAATGATGATGACATAGGAGAAGGTGGCGAACCAATTTTGGGCGAATTGTCTTACCCTAATAAGTCGAGTGCAGTGCTTAGGGTTAAATCAGTCCAGTGCAGTGCTTAGGGCTAAATCAGTCGAGCGCAGTGCTTAGGGCTAAATCAGTCGAGTGCAGTGCTTAGGGTTAAATCAGTCGAGCGCAGTGCTTAGGGCTAAATCAGTCGAGTGCAGTGCTTAGGGCTAAATCAGTCGAGGGCAGTGCTAAGCAGGAAAGCGAAAAGCAGAAGAGTCGGCTGAACTATTACGCCTTGAGTTATTGCATTCAAACAAAGTTCCAACACTAGTCAGTGATGAAAGTCAGCAGGGCGGAGCTGTGAGTTCTAGACGTATGAAAAAAGACTTCGAGAGTGCAAAGGAGGACCTTAAACCTTTGAAAGACGAACCACGGGCAGGTAAAAGAAAATTAGAAGAGGACGTAGACATGTCTGATCTGATAGACGAGGGAATGAACGACTTTTTGGTAGAGAGAGCCAATCGTTTAGAGCTGTCTGAGAATCCATTGTTCAAAGCCAATCTCACGTTTCTACCATACAAACGGCAAGGATTAAAGGGAGCAGTCAAGAAAGAGCAATTCACCGTTACGTTTGACCAGTTACGTAAACCCACAGAGGAGGAATCTTTGGGAGAGGGCTTGTTAGAGTCGCTGTTTGAAGCGGTAAGGGAAACGATACTAAAAGGAAAACCTGTCGGATTCAACAAAAGTTCATCTGACTTTAACCCCAAAAGAACATTCAAATGGCACTGTCAATTCGCGATACTTATCCCATCTGAAGTATGGGATTCCCGCGAAGGAGTTTGTACACCGTGGTGATTATGTACATGCTATGTTAGAGTCACTGGCAAGAAAAATGAATAGCGCTCAAAATATGAATCCAGCCATTGGGTTCAATGCCACTCTCACGTTTATCACCTACCCTGACAAAGGTGGCAAAGGTCCAGCTTCTAAAAATCCAAACAGATTACCCTTTGATTTGATGCATAAGGCTATTTTAGTATCATTTTGTCTCGAGTCAGTAGAATCCATAAGAGACATTTCCAAATGCACAAATAAGAGTTTGAAGTCTAGCCTCATCGACAAAGTGATCGTTGTCATAATTAGCAATTACTAAATGAGGGTGAGTAGGATATGAAGAATTATGTAGAGTGAAGAGGATGTTATCCCCAGGTCTGCGGTGACCCAATCCAGCTCGATCAACCTTACATCTGATCAGTCCACTGAAGGCGTTACTTCCTCTAGAAGAGGTAGATAGATAGATGGGTTTAACAAAATAATCAAATTGCAGCCGGCAGGCTAAATTGCTTAATTATTTACAACACTATAGAAGGTATGAAATAGTGGCAAAAGACTAATTACCATTTTTTTAATTAGGGAAAAAAAAGAAAATAACGTAATAAGACATAAAGTGACATTATAATAACATGTTTGCACGACCGCACATGGCTGGTATGAATGACTTTTTGAAGCGGTTTTTGCGAGAGCGGGGACAAGTCGTAAACTCGATCTCTCATGCTTGGTATTGTAGTAGCCTTGGTGGTTCGGAGAAAGGAGACAAGCGAGTTTGTGTTAATCCGAGGATATACTATTAAACGGCTTAATTAATACACTGATCGTTACAGCTCTCATAATTAAGAGGCTGTCCGCGTAAGAACCGATAAGGCAAATTTCGGTCTATCAAGGATTGCCCTGATTTTTCCAGTGGAAGATAACTATCCTATCCCATGAAGAAATATCACATTTATTTGGACCAACTCAATTTTTTCTCTATATTACAAGAAGATTTTCTCGGTCACCCAAAACTGGCCAGTTTGCCGTCGGAAGTGGTGCGATTTTAAGGAAACTTTAGGGCTCTGTCAAATCTGCCTCACAAAGCCGAATAAGCTGATTATTTTACAAACACATCTTTTAACTCTGATTAATAGTTTCAAGGTTTAATGGTTGCATTCTGTGGAAAGCTGGCTGAGATATGATTTTTTTAAAATGACCTTTAATTTGCTTATCGGGAAAATTAATTTGCATAACTAGAGCTGAACGGTAATTTCGCAAAAGTGGCACCTGACCCAGACTCAAGTCTGTGATAAAACAGAAGTACTAAGACCAGTCTACTTCTTAATGCAATAAAATTTGTGGGCACTCCTCTTTGCGTGCTGTACAAAGTTCCGCTAATGTTCCAAAATTCGCCATTTTGACATCAAAGCTGGAATTGTAACGGTCTGCATCTGGTCGACTATTTTCCACAACTTTAATGTTTCTAGTTATCACTAACCGTCATTAGACCCTTTAAATGTTGGACTTTCGAAAACATGTGAAGAAAACTTGGTAATCGCTCTTTCTTTATTTTTTTTTTGTCGACGATGAACATGACTTCATTCTCCGTATGCAAATTAGCCTTAGATGCGTCGTTTCAACAAATTGACAGGAAATATAATACACATGTACTTGTATTTCATATTTTTAAGGGAAAAATATCTCTTCTTTCACGGAAAAACACGAACGATGTATGACTTGGAATCCTCTTAGGTCTGTTTCTTTTACGAGGAAGAAGCAGCAGAAGAAGATATGTTTACGCGAATTAAAATAATTTAATTACTGCGGCTCGTCACGCATTCCCCCAGAATGACCGTGTATCGATCAGTTCTTTTATCTTATTATATCTTTTTTGAGGTGATAGTTATTGAAAATCATACAATTTAATCACTGTTAATTCCGATTCTTTACTGGGTGGGAAATACCGTGCTGTTGTATTTATTCATTCTACGACCGTTTTAACTGAGTTAGTATCACCGGGCGCCACTAGAATAGGGTTTAATATGACGGCCCATGGTGTAATACACGACAATTAGCCAAAAAGTAGTCACTTGGAAAAAAGGAAAAGGCATAGTTTTTTGTTTACGGTCCATCTCCTGTTAAACCCCAAAAGTTTTTGCCGGCTGTTAATCACACTAAATTAAGGATCCCTATGTTGTCTATGTTTACTACTGAGCTGATGGAGAAAAGCACGTGCACTCAGTGAATGGAAGACGAACGTTTGTAAATTAGGTCTCCTTTTCTTTCCCTGGATTTGAATGGTATTTCAAAGTGACACAACTTATTTTTTTTTTTTTATTACCCAGGGATGTAGCTAGGTTTTTTGTAACGAGGGGCATTATCGCGAGAGCCGAAGGGACGAGCCTTGTAGGGGGGTCTGGGGGTGTCCTCCCCCAGAAAAAATTTCAAATTTGGAGGCTCCGAAATGCAATTTTCAGCAGATATGTCTCCGAAAAATCGACCTCGAATATGAAAATGGCAAACAATTGCAAGTCACTGTAATCAAAATAACTGAGCCTAAAGAAAACAAATCCATCCACAGACTTGATTTGTCTGGCTCAACAGGTCCAGGGGAGGCAGCTACCCTACGGCTCTGTTACCACGTTGAACTGACTAGGTTGATCTTTCTTTGACATACACATAGGATGAAAACTTGAGGGTGTTGTGGTCTCAATTATTCTTCAGCGATTCCTGCAACAAGCTTTTGCCTTCCGAACACCTCGTCTTCTTGCAGCAGATCTCTATGGTCAAGTTCAATGTATATTCAAGTTCATTACATTGGTTATTTCGTCCATTGCCTTATTGTAGTTACACTTAGGACTATGTTTAGGTGTTGACTCAAACGGGCCTAGAGTCCAACATGGGCTGGCAATAGGTGAGCACGGAATTGGAACGGGGGTGGGGGAACTCCCTATGATGGCCTATACGGGGAGGCTCCACCCGAAAGGGGTATCTTTTTTCAGGCTTCAGGTATATGAAAGGGTAGGCTTTCACTAGATGAAGTATATGAAAGGGCGAGTGCGCTTATTTCAGCCTTAGCAGCACCTTTGGCGGTTCTTAAAGAAAAAAGAACTAAGTTTAAGAATTTAAGGAAAAAGTAGAAGGACTTAATTTTTCAAAAATTAATATACAGCGCAGAAATTTCACCCCTTTAAGTATAAATGCTTGTAAAAGTAGATTTGGAACCGGAGGGAGAGAGGGTGGATGGTAAAGTAGGTTAGAAATAGAGAGATGGGAGGAGCACTTTGATGGAGCACATTGTTCAAGAGGGTATAAATACAAAAAAAAAAAGAAGAAAAAACAGCAATCTGGAGGCATTTTTGAAGACTTGATGAAAACGTTATCAAAACAAGAAAAACAGAGACTGCTCAATCGTACTCTTCTCTGCCCTTTGGCGTCAAGTTTTTTCCCGTTTCTTGCCACAGGAGGAGCAAATCGGCTATTTAAAGTTGAACTGAACATTCTGGTACTTTTAAGTCTCACTAATTTTTACAAAACCAGAGACGTGTTTTAAACACTGTTTAAGTTAAAAAAATTGTTTTTATTGCAAGAATGAAATACTTTTCACACACGTCCCAAGGACATTCCTCTTAGAAAATGGCAGGGGCAGGAAAGCCCTGGGGAGGAGGTTGAATCCTGACTCCGTGTAGAAAGTTCTTTCTTTTTTCCCCATTTATAATGCTCTTCAAACAATCATCAGAAAACTATCTTTTACAACACACGGATTAACCTTTATGTATAGTATTTTATAGGTAAGAATTGATTAGAGCAAGATACACGGCTGTCAAAAAATAGAAATAAATAAACTATCCTTGCAAGCTCAATTAAACTGGAAACGAACATCAGAAAACATCGCAAGATAAAATGTTAAATGGAGAAATAAGAATATCTCTGTACGTTTAGAAATTTTTTGCATGAATAAGAAAAAAGAATGATACTTACATGATGGAGCACAACTTTGACTTACTTCCTGCCACAGTAGTTATTTTGCCAGTATGATCCAGAGTGTGACTGGGGTATTGACAAGACCTTGATTTCCGCCGTCTCCCAATCCCTTGGGGGCTCATTTTCCAGAACAGCGGCTTACAATCGAGCCTAACAAGACCTTGGCGCTGGCAAAAACCTGTCTGTGTCTGTGCCTTGGGCAGATTGTCATTTTAGTGTTAGCCTGTGTACACACCACCCCCGACCCCCTCGGAGAAGGGGCCCTTTCTCCGATTTTTCCTAAGGGGAGGGGGGGGGGGTCTGTACACAGGCTATTTAGTGTCTGTGCCTTGGGCAGATTTTCATTTCAGTTCCGAATACCTACCAAACCTCTACTCTCGCTAAAATGAGTTCATTCAGTCATTGACTTTGCTACACTTAGACAAGTGACAGCTGGCTAAGTGCGACGTAATATCATTCATGCACTCTGCGACCAACACATTTCCCTCCACACCCCTACTGGGACCACACTCTGTCTTGACGATCTCGCGAAAAGAACAGCTTTTTTCACAATTGATCTCTTCGGCGATTCATTGGCATAATTATATTTGAAACTGGCACCTGATGCATTATAATTCAATTAGACTGAAACCAAAACAAGATCATCTTGGGAATATACTACGGTGGCCCGTAAGTTCGGTGGTCCGTAAGGGACATTACAATATATTTTTTTTTTTGCTTAAGTTATCGCGCGATAATTTCAACTGATCGCGCGATAAGTTCAAATTATCGCGCGATAATTAGTCAGTTTATCGCGCGATAATTAGCCAGTTTATCGCGCGATAAATTGCAACATATCACACGAACTTGAGAGAAGCTGAAACGTTGCATGCATGTATGCATGCATTATCTTGATGTTGACCCTTTCTTTATCATACTAAGAAGGAGTTATAGTCTAACTTTTAAGCCAGCTTAATAGAGTTCATTTGAGTTGCCAAGCTAGATTTCCAAGCAAGGATTACAGCATTTTAATCCTGAAGGAAAAGGGGAGTAATTAAGATTTACAGTTGCTATATACGTATATGTAATCAAGTATCTCTCGTTTCAAAACTATACAGTGAGAATCAAGCCAGGTTACTTCTTAGCTTCAAGTTTAAAGTATTTCATCGTCCAACAGTGGTCCCTTTTGTTAAGTGAAGTGAGTAAAGGTTATGTTCTTGTTATGTATTTACAGAAAAGGACTGAGTTCTCCGGCGGATTAGAATGCGCAATAATTAAAGGTTAACATACGAAAATGCAAGCGGTGACAGGCCGCACATCCATACCGGCGTGAAACCTTGTGTTAACCTTTTATATTTTAGCTCTAACGAGCATGTCCTTCAGGGATTTTCCTTTCTTGTTGGAAATGATAGGTGGTTCTTTAAAAATTTGGCGAAGTAACGGTTGGTTTTTTCATTAAAACTTCTTTTAAAGTAGACACTGAGGGCTGGTACTGTGTCTCAAAAGGCAATATTTCTTTTTCCTTTCAGGAGTGCAGACTCCCTCTCTATGAACTTTGTATCTGATGGAAGGTTTTCTATCATAGTTTGTGGGTAGCCTCTGTCAATCAAGCGTTCTTTGAAATTTGAGTTGCTAGCCTTAAAAACATTCTTATGAAACACTGGCAACTGATAGAGAACCAACCTCTTCTTAGACAGATCTACAAAGAACCTCTAATTATATCGTACAAACGAGGAAGGTCTCTCAAAGATATACTTGTAAAAGCTAAACTCTGAGAATTAAAGGCTATAAACACGAGGGTGGAAAGCGTGAGTCAGGCTTCTCTTTATCATGTTATGCAAATTTATCGAGCGATAATTTTCTCATTTATCGCGCGATAATTTTCTTATTTATCGCGCGATAATTTGAATTTATCGCGCGATAATTCTCAATTTATCGCGCGATAAACTGTCTTTTTATCGCGCGATATAAAAATGTAAGTAGCGTGTCCTCTATGGGCCACCGTAGTATATAGTTTAAGCCGCGCAAACATATATCATGACATATTATTCAGCTGCTTCTTCCTCGTTAAACAACAACAAAAACAGACCTTAAGGGGATTCTAAGTGATGGTTCGTGTTTTTCTGTAGAAAGGAGAGTTATTTTTCTCCTTAGAAATGCGAAATGTAACGATTATGTTTCCTGTCAAGTTGTTGAAACGACGCATCTAATTTGCATATGGAGAATAAAGTCACGTTCATCGTCGACAAGAAAAAAACCAAGAAAAAGCGATTACTAAGTTTTCTCCACATGTCTTCGAAAGTCCAACATTTAAAGGGTCTAATGACGGTTAGTGATAACTAGAAACGTTAAAGCTGTGGAAATTAGTCGACCAGATGCAGACCGTTACAATTCCAGCTGTCAAAATGGCGAATTTTGGAACATTAACGGAACTTTGTACAGCACGCAAAGAGGAGTGCCCACAAATTTTATTGCATTAAGAAGTAGACTGGTCTTAGTACTTCTGTTTTATCACAGACTTGAGTCTGGGTCAGGTGCCACTTTTGCGAAATTACCGTTCAGCTCTAGTTATGCAAATTAATTTTCCAGATAAGCAAATTAAAGGTCATTTTAAAAAAATCATATCTCAGCCAGCTTTCCACAGAATGCAACCATTAAACCTTGAAACTATTAATCAGTGTTAAAACATTTGTGTGTAAAATAATCAGCTTATTCGGCTTGGTAAGGTAGGTTTGCAAGAGCCCTAAAGTTTCCTTAAAATCGCACCACTTCCGACGGCAAACTGGCTAGGTTTAGGTGACCTAGAAAATCTTTCTGTAAAATAAAGAAAAAATTGAGTTGGTCCAAATAAATGTGATATTTCTTCATGGGATAGGATAGTTATCTTCCACTGAAAAAATCAGGGCAATCCGTGATAGACCAAAATTTGTCTTATCGGTTCTTACGCGGACAGCCTCTTAAAGTGCTGAGACCAAAACTAACTTAATAGTGTTGACGTATGATTTATCAGGCGACATTATGGATAGCGCTCTTTTATGTACACGCTCACGTAGATAGTCGGTTAGCTGTGGTGGAAAATCGGCGACTGAGCAATATTCTAGGCGCGGGTCTTAATACTTTACGGTAGAAGTTAACAATATCTTTACAACTCAAGCTGAACCAAAAAAATACAAACGCGGGTGTGCTGCAGGGAAGGTTATTCTAAAAATGGAGAAGATAAATGTACAGGTAACACTTAAAGATCCCTTAATTGAGACACTCACTGAGATACTTCGTAGCCACGTCTCTTTCATATAATTGACTTTCCTCTGTTTGAAAGTCGTTTTCCACTATATTCGCCTTAATTTAAGCCTCCTTAATTTCCACAATACCTTTTAGTATTATAGAGCATCAATGTCCTATAATAAGGCAGGTATTTTATTGTAATTCTTATAGTCCATTTTCGACTTCACTCGAGCTTCCGTCTTAAAACGGTGCGAAGTGCGAAGCCTTTTAATAAGAAAATTAATTTCAAAGGGGAAAGGTGTAAGAAAGACCTTGTTTTGAAAATGAAAGTTTTTGGATCTCGGAAAATAATATTGAAATATTGATCGCATAAAATGGCTACTAAGATAAGCCACAGTTATCTACCATGAAAGAGAAACTAAATCAGCTTATTCATTGTCTGACTTCTTAACCCATCGAGGTCGAGTATTTTTTGAAGTTTTTCGCTGACAAATTACCAGTTTCAAATGACTGAAGGCTCAAGTTTATTTTTTTATGTCACTATGGCCCCGTACTATTAGGATTTTGATTTCAAACTGACCTCGAAAGCGAAAATTCCGCCAGTTTTTTTAAAAGTACAGGCGGGGAAAACCTTATCTTACCATGGTCACGCGTTGGTCACGCTCTACGTCCAATTTTTATAGTCTGATTGGTCAAACTTTGACAGGTGAGTTCATGCGGAAAAATTATGCAGCATCTTGAAAGTTGTTTACTTTGACAGCTGAAACTGACAGAGTTTTGTGTCAACTTGTGATGTTTTTAACTGTCTTTTTCCTCTGCATGTGCAAAATGAAATGCAGCCGCTATCAAGAGTCTTCTGTTATTCATGGCTGGTTTGTTTACTGGCTTTTTGGTTGAGAAATACGTCGCTTGTCAAAATTCAGTAATTCGATTTCGGATGGCATCGTTTTCGTTTTTCACCTTGCTTAATGCGTAAGAGGGTTTAAAAGTGTGAAGCAACTGTGGCCTTCCTTGATAGCCTTCAGAAACTGAATCTCGAATGGTAAGCCTGAGTAATTATTGTATTTGATGTTTGTTTTTGTTATATCTAATTTCATGAAGTCTTGCACAGTTCACGCTGACAGTTTATGCGACAAGTTTATGCACGTTTGTAGGATTTGAGTCAATGATCTGACCTAGTATCAGGTTTGATATAAGCTTACAGAACTTTAAAAAGCCTTCAGATCTATTTGCTCAGCACAAATAGAAAGAAAACGATCCGAAGAATATCTAGTTATAAATTTGGCTGTAGAAAGAAAACTTTGAGCGATTTTCTTGCTTCGAGTAGTTCACCTTCGAAAACAGTAAACACCGCACCGGGAAGCCGGCTTAAAAAGTTTACGCTTTAAGACTCAGGATTTTTAGCGGTGTGCGACAAACGCAGACTGCAGACTTGCAGACCGCAGACCTGCAGACTTGCAGACTTGCAGACTTGCAGACACGTTCGGAATTCACGGGGGGACGGGGGGGGGTGATAATTGCCCCCGCAGGGATTAAGCGCCAGAGGGCGAAATCCCGAGGAGGCACTCTAGTAACTCGCGCGTATATTAAGGAAAGTACTTACAGTTGAAATACACAGTCAGTATGCCAGAAAAAAATCTCGATTTGCCTGAACAGGGGCCGCGAGGAATCGGTAGGTAATGATGACGTGATGAAGACAAAATTCCGAAGGGACCGCTTAGGTAGATTTTGTGACATTTATTGTGCAGTCATACTTCGATACTCTTTTGCGTTACGTGTTATCAGTGACATTCCATGGGGCAGTTGTTTCAGTGAAAGTTATGGACCAAAAGACACTCGTTAAGCGCAGACAGTCCGGGCCACAACCAGATCTGGATATGCAATTTCCTGCAATCTGATTGGCTCAGAGCTCAACCAAAACATTGACTTGACCGCGAAAGGACTAAGCTCGACAGAAATGTCGAACAGGGAAACTTCGAAGCAAATAGCTGTCGAGTACTTTGGGTGGAATGTACCTTGAAGAAAAGTAACAGCAATACGGAGCCGATTAATCGAAATTATTTTATGCGTCATGGCGTTCGATTTACGAATATCGAGATGTTAATGGTCGAGAACGCTTCCTGTAAACACCCGTGGATTTCTGATAATATTTCAAGAGACCAGAAACAACTCGACGACTCCGATCGAGTTGGAAGAATAGGGAATTTGAATACCGCGATACATTGTAAGTAGAAAGGTTTTAAGAAGTCCTGTTTGGAGTAATTTCTGCGAGCACAGCTTCGACCTGGAGAAGTCTGTTCTATTCTACTTCGGGGCAATTTTTACCATTCGCGCTAAAAAATCTAATTTCGATCGAAGGATTGATAATGATAATCTTAATGCTAATTATTCTTGTTTATATAAATTTCCAGGATATTGAATCGTCACACATGTTGGAAATATGCGAAGGTCAAAGAAATAAATAAAATTTGTAGAAATTGCACTCGCGAAGAGTCGTAAGCAGTTATTAACGAACTTCTGTCTACGTGTTGCTTATTGCAAATTGCAAAACCCCATTGCGGATGAAAATAATGCAAGTGGACGTATTCGTGTTCTAATAGCTGTTAAATAGTCACTGAGAGGACGTAAACATAATCTGACAATTGTATTTTGAAAAACAGCTTTGACAAATGAAATAGATGTACAGACTTTACTATTGTTTGTGTCAAAATATTTAATAGAATGGTTTTTCACAAGACAAAAAAACATTATATATATTTATATCTCTATATTTTTTAAAAAAAATTTGTTCCTTTAAATTATTGTTATTAAGAGGGCGCATCAGTTGAGACGACTGATGCGCTTCTAAATCTCTAAGGAAGGTGTCACATTGGGATGCAGGGCTAGTACAGCATCACAGTAGTTTTTTGGCATGAGAGATTTCATAATACCATTTGTCTACTACCTAGGATTTAGTAGTTTTAGGGTAGATAGGAATACCACGACTGTAATATGGGTTACAGACGGATACAATTCTAGCTTAGTCACATTCTCACTTGGCATACACCGAATGCAAATATGGCGGATCTCTAGGTCGGCCCGGGTCTAGTTGCGCGAAAGCGAGGCTAGTGAGGCCTCGAGAGTTTGATTTGACTGCGCGTCTTAGTGATTCAGTCGATCTATATGGTTTCCTTCGAGTTGTTACGTGCTTAAGAGCCATCAAAGAGGAGATTTAAACTCCACTAGAAACGAAAGTTGATTATCTTCGCTTTGCTAAGGTTCTTTAAGAAGAGAGAAATGGATTCAAGCGATTCGGCGCGGCGAATGGAGGCACTTTACTATCACCGAGTTAAAAGAACGAAAGTGTGCTCGCTTCGGACGCTCGCTTCACTTCAGAAGAGAAGACTCACGAACTATTAGAATGGGTAATAACTGAAAGAGTCATGGTTCTGTTTCAAGTTTGCTTTGTCCGTTCTCTTACCAAGGAAAGGTAAATATCCTCGAGAACGAGTGAATCCGCCGTCGCGACTTACCAATCTTTAGGCGCTCTCAGGGACACAACGACAGACAATAAGGCCGAATGTTTTCACAGTCTTCACGATCCTGTGTTCAAGAGTTTTAGCAGTGCCATAAAAGAAGCAATTTTTGGAAAATCGCTGTTAGTATATCTCGAAACCATTCGACAAGTTGCTAAAATATATCACGCGCAAAGTCAGATACAATGCTCGAATACTTGCACGCTCTTTCTCTACCAGAACCTTTTTCCGTCTTCTTACTTTCTTAGTTGGCAACGGTTCCTCTGTTAGTTTTTTCAGGGCACTTTGGTCAAGGACTGTTCTTGAAATATGGCGCTTTCTTCTGGTTCTTACATAGTCTCACAGTCCACGCTTGTAGGATTAACAGCCGATTGTTATTGTTGATATATTTTAATGCAGCTGTTTTCAGCGTGAAATCTAAAAGATCCTACAGTCCACAGCGGATGCTCCCGTTCTCGAGAATGTTTACCTTTTGTTGGATAAATAACAGACCATGCAAACATCTTGGAACAGCACCATCTCTTGTGAAAATTATTTCATTCAAATACTTTCCTGACTCCTCTCATCTAAAGCAAGTGAAGCGAGCACACTTTAGCTGTTAAGTGATTCCCATCACCGCGCCGAATCGTATGAATCCTTAACTTTCTTTGTGAAAAGATCTCGGGAAAGTAAAGGTTATTGCAGCTAGAGTAAAATCTTCTTTTTGGTGGCCCTCAGGTATGCAACAACTCGAAGCAAACCATATCGATCGACTCAACCGCTAAGACGCGCAGTAAAAACAAAACTCTTGAGGCCTCACTAGCCTCGCTTTCGCGCAACTAGACCCGGGCCGGCCGAGAGGTCCGCCATATTTGCATTCGGTGTATTGCAGTAGCAACATTCACTTTTATTGCACTAGCAATCATTTCTCTCCCTCCCTGTTGGGCTTTATTTTGTTCTATTCATGGACAGTGTGATCACTTTTATTATTTGATTGAGGTTGTTTTAATTCTTTTTTAACTTGGTCTTTCTTATTTGTTGGAGCACTTTATTTTTATACTAAATATTTCCTTTTAGTTATTTACCATGTATTGTATTTTGTTATGATTAATAAAGGCTGTCTTGTAGCCCAAACAATGCCTGGGTTTCTGGGTTTTGTTGATTTAGTGTAAAAACTATGTCATTATAGTAATATCCTGTCACTTAAGGTGGAATACATACACACTGAAAAACTTAGTGAGCACTAAGCCTCTATTATTATTAGATTATGTTTATCCTGTATCATACAGTCAAACCCCTCTTCACGGACGCCAGCTTAATGTGGACTCCC